AAAAAGCAGTATTAAGACAATTACGTATGGACATATATATATATATACACATCATATGCAGTCTTGAGTTCTTTTTTGGGTGGCGGTCCTTCTATGGACGAAATGGAGGGTCCAGAGAAAAACCAGTCATCCATCTTTCTCTTCCTCGCGCACATTTGTCACATATCTAGCATGCGGTTGGTATGCTGTGGAGGGCAATCTTGCGGATGGTTGGGTATGGTTGGATCAACATGGGTCCAACCTTCTCTTTCGTGAGCTCTGCATGATAGCTTCTATATTTCCTGGGACCAGATCCTGGGAGATAGTCCAGATATATTGACCTCAGGTGGTTCCACATCCCTCGTTCCCTCGGTGCCGGGGGCTGGGACGCTGGGATGCTGGCACGGCGAGGTCCAGCGAGCCTCGCGCAAGACGGGCATGGCCGTGGTCTCAGGGATGTTGCGATCGAAGAGGGGTTCGTGCAGACAAAAGGACTTCAGTTTCCTGAGTGAATTGGAAAAGCCTTCAGTTTCCTTAAGTGGCTTGTGATGGGGCTCAAAAGAGCCCCATCATTAACGAACTCAAAGATCTAGGAGGTTGACTCACGTTCGAAAGAGCCGTTTGAAGAGGTGTGTCACATTTCTTTGGCATGGGTGCTCTGTTGTCGCTTGTTCCTCAGCCCAGGACTCGGCAGCCCAGTAGTGGGCCCACTGTAGATTCTTCCCGAAAAGAAGGGAGTTTCCTCTGAGGTACAGGTTCGTGCCCACATCTTCCTGCAGAGTGTCAATGTGATCCGAAACATGGACTACTTGGCACGCTGCATCAAGACCGAGGTGCTCGAGACTGGAGAACGGCCACTTAAGGGAACACAAACTATGCTGATCTTGCTTGTGTGTCTTTCGGTGTGTCTCGGAAACTCTCGTGTCACAACCGGTTAAAACTTGAACAAACACACTAAGGAAAACTCGTCGTGTCCCTCCCGGGTAACTGCACCTCCGTCTTCGCAGAAGACAGGTGCAGCGCTTATCCTCGGAGTCGAAGGCGCGGAAGGCACAGCTTCCCAGACGCCTGGCGGCCAGTGGGCTGCAACTGCTGCCGACCCGGCCGATTAAAGTGACGAGACCGGGATCGCCCCAAAAGGATGTGGAAGAGAAGGCACGGAGGACTGGTTTGGATCGCCCCAAAAAGACACGCGGGTGTTAATCAATTCAGGGTTACAGGATAGGCATGCGTTCCCATGACGTGTGACAGATTTTTGTCCGCCAAACATCCCCCCAAGTAAAGTTACACTTCTTTGTCTAGTTCGCAGACCATGACCACTAATCACGAATCACGATCAACTCAAAGTTCTCCTTGTGAGTCCTCCCTGGTTGGATCACAAAAGGTAGCCTCAATTGGAATGCGACCCATGCTTTTCGCCGTGAATCTTGTGCCTTATTACAGTAAGAATGGAGTTTAACATGTCCGCTGTCCCACACCGCCCGAGCCCTCCGATCTACTGCCTTCGTGGTCCGTTCGTTCTCGTCCCTTTTCCCGCGTCCTCGTCAACTTTCGTCCACCTCGGGATTCAGTCGCAGGTGGACTGGAATTTCCAGTGTCCTGGGGGATTCTCTCTTTACATTTGGGTTTGCCAATTCGCCTCACCGAGCATGCCAGGCTCGCTCTCCTCCCACACAGCTCCCCCCTGTGGCAAGAAGAGGCCCTTCAAGGCTGATGGGGAGTGGAGGAGTGAGTACAGTTGAGTAGAGTTTAGGAACCTGAGGTTGTCCACACACCGCGGCTGATCATGGCAGGAACCGAGTCTTCATATCTTCAGCCCTCAGTTTCAAGGCCAACATCCATGCCACGAGCCCTCTCAGGGGAGCCCTGCCACGAGCTGGCCTCGGTGATCTTCGCCCGCCGCGCCCTGCGCGGCGTGGCACACGAGGGCGGTCCTGCGGCGCTGCTCTCGCGGAGCTATGAGGACTCCAGGAAGCGGCTCTGGCTGTGTCCTGGAGAGGACATGGAGAGAAGGATGGTGGCTCAGGGTGGAAAGACACTTGGTACATCTTCTACCATCTTCTACCTTCTAGCTTTTCGACTACATTGAATTGTCAATTGTTGCAATGGTTTCGACGTTTGCGGGTTGAAGCTTGGGGATCACTGTTGATCTCTTTGCTTCCGATCACTGTTGATCCTCAAGATCATTGTGGGTTGATCTCTTTTCTGTTTCGCCTCATGGTTGTTCCTGCGCTGGTTGCCATCCAAGACAAGTCTCTAACGGGGGCAAATCATGGGTATCTGGTCTCACCATTGTGCTGTTGAGCCATGAGGTTATTTACGGATCACAACCCAGAAGGTTCAACATACAGCCGTCTGTATTTGTCAATCCCATGTGATGGTTTGGACATGAATAGAACAGGCTGTTTCCAAGAAATCTCTCATTGGATTCCCACACAAGAATGGTATCTCATATCAGATAGTTTCTATCTATATCCCCGGCAGTCACCATCCAACTTCCCAGCCCGCTGCACGCTGCACTGAGCCGCGGAGCTCGGAGCCTGAGGCTCTTCCGGATGGTGCACCTGAGTTCAGCCATCCCAACGGAAGTCTTTGACCTCAGCGAAAAGGAAGATGGGTGGTTCTGTACTCTGCCACAATTTACGTTCATGAATTCGCAATTTGGGTGAAGTTTTGATCGTTTTGAGTTTTGCATTTTGATAGATCAGATATATAGAAGGGACAGAAAATGTCCTTTGGGGCTTTGAATTGAATGTCTGGGACCTCTGGGACCTCTGGGACTCCAAGGTCCAAGGCAAGTTGTCGGCCTTGATGGACAGCTACCTACGACCAGTCCTGGTGCGCTTTTTTTTCCGCTCCCTCCGTACCGCGAGCGATGCCGTATACTTCAGGGACCTTGAGCAACGCCGATCTCGAAGCTGAGAGAATCCGTTAGTTTTGAGAGCCTTGGGCTCAAACATGAATCTTGATTGTGCCCAGCCAAAAGTGTTAGTGTAGGGAATGTGATCAGGACTTGTTCGCAGTGTTCAGATTCCTCTGGCCGCACTGCCGCACCACCTTTGGGCTTCCTGGCTTGGTGGACGGTGCTTCTAGGCAGAGAAAAAGCAAGGCTGATGGACTTGTGATTGGCTCAGACACGTCAAAGAGACGCCTTCTCTAGAGGTGTTCCTCCATCCCGCAGGGATGTTGGGCCTGCCACAGCACGTCGCGCAGGTGGAGAGACGGCTGCCCACGGGCTACTGCCAAGCTCTAGATCGGGGACTCAACACTCAGGCAGCAAGTCCGTGCCTTGCAGTGGAACTGGTGGTGCGAATCGTACAGGATCATGATATGAGTGTTAAGGCCTTGTAGATCGTTTGGATGTGTCTGTGATATGCTGTACCTGCTACTGTTCTCAGGGATTCGCTGGATTCACTGGGATGTTCCGCATTTGGAGGCCATGCTGGAGGATGAAGAGCCAGAGCAAGAAACAGGCCGGGTGGCAAGGGCTTAGTGGGCGCATCCTGTTGGTGAACTCCAGGACCACTGACATGCGAAATGGGTGTAGTTCGAGCTAAGATTACAGTATCACATATATATATATATATATACAAGTACGTTGGGAATCAACGAATGGGGCAGATCGATGGAATTTCATTGTTTCATAGACATGGAAAACCATCACAGCAAGCTCCGTGATCATCAGCACCATGCACTCTTGGCGGCGATGGGTGTACCCAAAGTAGAACATGGGATCATAGAAAAACTCTGCCGAGCTGCATGGGGTGATGGTTGGTGCCTTCAAGGATGTTTTTGGACCATGATGCTTGTTTGCTGTCCCGCCTTGAAACATCAAGCACAACCCTCGTCAGTTCCCAGAGCTGCGGCATCGCTGAAGTTGATTGAACGCAGCAGTCGTGCCATCTTCACGATTCTGGCCATCCATTGCAAACTGCATATAGATAGCTGTTCCCGCTGTTCCTTCTGAAACCACACACCTCCTGACTCCTGAAACCGCAGGGGTGCTTTCCATGGCAGCAGCCATGAGTTATAGTATATTATAGTCTGTTCAAGTGACTTCTTTTCTTCTCAAACCTACGTTGCCGTCGGGATTTCCCGACACCTGTGTGCTGCGAGGAGGAACCGCTGCAGCGAGCAGTGATGCACTCAGCGGGTATCGTGTTCCTTGGGTGGAGTTCCTTGAGAGGTTCATTTGTTCAGTAAGACTTATATATATATATATATAGTAGATCATTGATGACTTCTCCAACATCATGGGACCAGAAGTTTTCAAAGACCTGAGGTGGATCTGCCAATCCCTTGTAACCCCTGCTGCCGATGTGCCGGCCGCCCTCAGGTGCTAGAGTTCCACCTCGAGAAAGAAGCAAAGAGGCCCAGCTCTGGGGCTAAGTAAGTTAGGCTAAGGGTCTTTTTCTGGTGGGATGGCATCCCCCTAGCTTCTTGTTACTAGCTCCATGCATTTGCGAGAATTCCCGGAGTGGACCGGTGTCTGACTCGAGTGCTTGGGGGGTGTCAAGTCCTGTGGACCCGCCAGGGAAGTCCCAAGGCCCGAGGCGCGTTCGGAGCGGGAGATGAGGGAGAGGGGTTCTGTTGGCTTTTCGCTCTCCCGGATGGATTCCGCATCTGAGCTGAAGGGGCGTTTTTCCTACACTCGGAAGAGCAGAGGCGCTTGATTCCACGGGGAGCCCCAAAGTATCCCAAAGCTACGTAATGAAGAATCATGAAGGCAAACATGCCATGCCATGTTTTGTGGGGAACACATGGTTTGGAACAACAACAACAACAACAACCACAACCACAACCACAACCAACAACCAACAACCAACAACCAACAACCAACAACCAACAAC